TCAATGTGCCTATATTCTAGAGATGTTGGCGACCACATTGACCCATCTTTTTCTATTCACACCAGCTCAAAATAGATTTGTCGACGTTAGATCAGTCCACTTCCTAAGATTGGCCAGCTGGGATGTACGTCTACGTCCAGGGCCTCTCTTACCCTCAATATTGCCTTGTAGAATCAACTGTAGATGTCGGTATTTATTATTATGCATGATGTGGCCGAAGTAAGTCTATTTTCTGTTGTTTACGGTGTTAATAATTTCTCTGTCTTTTCTTAGCCTCTGGAGAATAGTTATGTTACTTGTATAATGTATATATGGGAACCTCAACATACGTAGCACCACATTCAATTAATCTTTTATGGAATCTTCTGTAAGGCTTCAGCTTTCTACTCCATAGGGAGGACACTAAGGACCTAACATATAAGAATTCTTATGCGTATATTGATACTTAAAGATAAGTTGCATCTGGCTTTTTCAATACGAGTTTTTATTTCGTAGTGTGATCCCAAGTATCCTTAATATTGAAGCCCAAATAGCATATTTTTCCACTTTTTCTAACGGTGTATCGTCTATTTGGGCGTTTACGTTGGTGTTTTTACTAATAATCATTACTTTTGTCTTCTTGCAATTTAATTTTAGGCCGTATTTGTTATATGTTTCTACAACGTTATCCATCATCCTTTGGAGCCCCTGCGCACTATCTGCCAGCAACAGTGTACCTGCATATCTAATATTGTATATAAGTTTGCCATTTACAGCAATCCCATCTTCTCATTCGTCCAAGACCTATGTAAAGCCTATGTAAATGCAACCCTGTCTAACTCCTTTTTCGACTGTGAAGATCTCGGACAGTTAATTTTCTAACCGCACATATCGATTAGTTTCTCATGTGAGACTTTATCAAATGCCTTCTCGAAATCAATGAAACATGCATACACATCGCAGTTGACATCCCTGGCTCTCTATATTAGAACATGCAAACTAAAAAGTGCTTCCTCGTTTCGAGTCCTGGTCTGAATCCAAATTGAACTTAACTCAGGTGTTCTTCTAATTTGGTGTATATGCGAGAGTGAATGATACTAAGGAGTACTTTAAGTACATGGCTCATCAAAATAATTAATCTATGTTCTTCACATTTTCTAACGTTGGCTTTTTTAGGAAGTGGAATAAATGTTGATAGTAGCCAGTCTTTTGGTAAATAATCAGTCTCGTTGATGCTGTTGAATAGATTCAGAAGAGCTGTCATTTGGTGTGCCTCTAATAGCTGTAAAATTTCAACCATGCACCTTATTAAATTCTAGTGACTTTTCATCTTTAATCCGCTTAATGGCCATAGTTATTTCTTCGTTTGTTATTTCTGGATTGTAGGGATTGTTCATTTTAGTCTTACTTTTTGCTGCATCTTCGAATAATTATTGCATATATTCTGTCCATCTTCGTAATTTATCTTCAATTGTAATCAAAATCTGACCTCTAATATCTACAACTATGCCTGTATTGCATTGTTTTCTGGTATTCTGTACCTCTTTAATTTTTTTTGCATATGGAAATCGTCATGTTAGCGTTGTAGTGTTTCAATTTCCGTGCAATTCTTCATCAGTCATGCTTCTTTTGCTCCTTTTATTTCCATTAGTATAGTCCTATGCAACTTTTTGTGTTTGTTGTTATTTCTCCCTTTTAATTTTCTTCGCTCTTCCATCATGTACAATATTTTATCTGCCATCCATTCTTGCTTCTTTTCTCTTTTTGATTTTAGGTATTCATACGAAATTGTGGTGATATATGTCTTCATTTCGTTCCACTGTTCTTCTATGCCTCTAGTAGTGTCTTCAACTATTTTCGCAAAATTCTTATTAATCTCTGTTTTTACTTTTTTCTGGATGTCATTTTCTTTTAGTAGTCTTATATCTATCTTGGACCTCATTTTCTTATGAATTATTTTGAGTCGTATGTTGATATTTGCAACCAATAGACTATGATCTGAGAAGACATCTGCGCCTGGATATGTTTTTGTTGAGGTGATAGAATTTCTAAACCTTTTGTTTATGTTGATAAAATCAATTTGGTTTCTTATGATTTTCCCTGGGGTATCACCAGGGTGCTTTCCATGTATAAAGCCTTCTTGGGTGTAATTTAAAAAGTGTATTCGTTACAACCATATCCGTCTCTTCGCAGAATTGGATCAGTCTTGCTCCTCTTTTGTTTCTTATGCCAAGACCATATGACCCCACGACATTCTCGACTGTACCTTGTCCTATTTTGGCATTGAAATCGCCCATGATAATAGTAAGTTCATGTTTTTTGGTCAGTTTTAGAGAGTCTTCTAGAGTCTGATAGAAATTTTTTATTTCTTCTTCAGTGGATTCTGATGTCGGTGTGTAGATCTGAATGATGTTTATATTAGAGGAACTTGAGTTAATTTTCAATAGCACAACTCTGTCTGATATGGGCGTAAATCCTATTACTGCTTTATTATTATCGCTACGCCATTTCTGTTTCTTGTTGTGTCGTCTCCAGAATAATAGATATGGTGTTCATCTATAATTCTTATTCCAGAATTTGGCCATCGAACTTCACTGCATCCTAAAATATCCATGTTCAGGCGAGTCATTTCTTGAATAGTATTTGCTGCTTTGTCTGCTTGGTACATGCTTCGAATATTCCACGTACGGATCCTTTTAACTTTTGGGACATTATTGCCTGACCGGGGGATTCTGAGCACCCTTTATTATTACTAATTTAGGGTGAATTGATTATTATATTGATAAAAAATAATGAATCTCGACAAAACAAAGATATTAAGCAACAGCCTAGAAAACATCACGATAGATAACATCAATATAGAAAAGGTAGAACAATATCATCATCATCATCATTATCAGCGTATTCTACCAATTATGGTGCAGCCTCCCTTACATAGTCGTTCTTCATGTCTGCCCACGACTGTCTAATATTCGCTTTTCTGTGCCATGTTGTACCGGCTTGTTTCCTTATGTCATAGTCCCATCTTAGATTTGGACGTCTTCTTGGTCTCTTGACGTCTCTTGGGTACCACAGAGTAATTCTAGTGGACCATCTATTGTCAGTTCTTCTTGCTAAATGTCCCGCCCACTGCCATTTTAAAGATTTTATTTGGTGGATTACATCAGTGACCTTCGTTTTCTGTCTGATCCATTCTATTCTTTTTCGATCTCTCTTGGTTATACCTAACATGCATCGCTCCATTGACCTTTGAGTGACTTTGAGTTTAGCTATTATATCTTTCTTTAGTGTCCAAGTTTCGCAGCCGTATGTCATGACTGGTAGCATACATTGATCGAATGCCTTTTTCTTCAGGTGGAGTGGCATCCTTGATTTGAATATAACTGAATTTTTACCAAAAGCTGCCCAAGCCAGTTTCATTCTTCATATATATATATATATATATATATATATATATATATATATAGGACATACAATTAAAAACGAAAAGGAAAATCAAACCCTGGAAATTAAAAGAAGAACACAATTATCATGGGCTGCTTTTGGTAAGTTGAGCTTCATTATAAAAGACAAAAAAATCCCAATTCACTTAAAATGAAAAACCTATGACACTTGTATACTACCAGTTGCAACTTATGGATTGGAAACTATGGCAATAACAAGAAAAATGGCAGAACAATTAAGAGTAACTCAACGGGCCATGGAGAGGGCCATGTTAAATATAAGCCTCAGAGACAAAATTCCTAACACCGAAATACGTCGAAGAACTAAAGTAACCGACATCATGGGAAAAATAGCGACATTGAGATGGCAATGGGTAGCACATGTAGCAAGACAAGACACCAACAGATGGATAGACGATATAACTGCTGTAGCTGGAAAGCAGTGGACGATAATTGCAAAAGATAGGGAAGCGTGAAGCAATTGGAGGAGGCCTATGTCCAACATTGGATAAATGAAGGCTGAAGAAGAAGAAGAAGAATTGGTGCCAATTCACAATACTGAATTAATAAACAAAAATAAAAAATTATGAAGTGAAGAACTCAAAATTTGCTAAAAGTTTGAATACCTACCAACTTTATTACTACTTCATGCACATAAAAATCAAAATTACTTAAAAACTAATTGCTTAAGGCATAGAAGATGCTTTATTAAAATTGAAGTATGGTAATATTACCTTTCGATAGTGGTATAAATATAGGGTGATCCATTTAAAATTAGCAAGAAAATAATATACTTGCGGTTTGCCTTACCTGGTATGCGATTTAATTAGCGTTATTAAAATTAATCATTTTTATAATTTTTGACAATTATTTAAAAATATGGTTTCAATAGATTATTATTCTCATACCTTAATGTAATTATACAGGGCGTTGAACTTGATTTTCATGTAGTATTTGATATAACTTTTTAAATACCCATTATAATAAGTTAAAACTTTATATTATTTAAATAAGAAAGTAAAGCAAATTTCAAATTTAGAATAAAATACAGAGTATTCTGTTAATATATTAATGTTATATATTTTAATATATATTGTGCGCCTTTATGAAACACCCTGTAGGATTGTAAGTTATTTTTAAAAATGGAGTTAAAAGGCTATCCACAATTTTTGTAAATCACTTTTTTTGTATCTTTTACTGGAATAGATCTACTGAGCTTGCTCGGACCAACCAATCACTCTTAATGTATTTCTGCTTGCTTCAATGCACTCTTAATAATTTATGTCCTATCTACAAACCGTGGTAAATACTTTATTAATTGTCATGTGGTTTAGATATATATCTTTGAATATTTTTTAACAGTAATCTGTTTTAATGCAATGATTTTATTTAAATTATTATAAATTACAAAACTTCTGGTGGTTACCTATTAAATCTGACAACAACCTTTAGTCACGAACCGTATCTTAAAAAGGAATACTTACTTAGAATGGAATATTTCCCTTAAATACATAGTTCTATTTAGAATGAAGAGTGGCTAGTGCCTGCCATATGCGAATTTTTATCTTGTGTTAACAGTATGACAAGCAAGGCGAAACCTACACCAGTACATTAAAGTATCTCAACTGGGGATTCACGGGAATGTTCACTGTGGAGTGTATCCTGAAGATTCTTGCATTCGGCGTAAGGGTAAGGAACATAGGAAGACCGTTGAACAATATTAAGTACCTTTGACATTCAGTTATCTGTTTTGAGATCAGTAGTTTCCTGTAGTAGTTTTTACGATTATTATTCAGATATCAAAAAAATCCAAAATTATTATGCTTCTTAATAAAAAACATAAAAAATATATAGATACATTACTAAAAATATATGAACTCTAAAAAAATAAAAAAAATTCAAATATGGAATATTCTCAGATATTTCTGTGATACATGCTCTACAAAAAACACTTAGTACAACAATGATTGCGCACAAGAGATTCTCTTGTTGGTATTCTTGTTATTTTTTTGTTATTATTATCTTATCTTTGAATTATTTTGTGTCATACTAGTTAATTATTGTTTTTATTGCTTAGTTACCAACTACGTAATAGTGTACTTTATGCCAGCGCGGGTATAAAGTGTACTTTATGGCCCCACGGACGTAAAGATACAAACAAAAAGATAACTTATTAGAAACACCTTTATTTAACAACATTTCAAAACATTATTTAGAATTTACATAAAACTGCAATTCTGAAAGGATCTGGTGATATTTAGATTATCCGCGGCAACAATTGACTCATGTTTTATAGCTTTGGTGTCAAGTTTCTTTAAGGAAGCGCCGGATTCGGAAGGTAGGCCTGCTAGAATTCTTCCATCCGCTTCAACGTGGTCAAGTGGTCATACTGGCCCAGCTTCTGCAGAAGAGTTGCCAAAATCCGACGCAGGCAATGACCTGTGTACTTCTCAGGACTGCTCAAACCCAGATATTTTGCAATGGTGGACGGGATTTTCGTCAATAATTGTAAAAACACGCTGTTAATCGGTTTTTCTCGCTGGTACGTTTGTCGCTGGACGAAAACTGATTCTGCTGACGAAATCTTCTACGTGAGTAACCAACATATTCACAAGTTCTTGTCGTCGACATCCACCAAATACACCAAATATTAATGCTACTTTGTTAACTACTTAACTGCTATATTAAAAATATTTTGTTCGTTGCTTTGTGAATAAATTTTAAAACATTTTCTTTTGGCGAGACTCTAGATTTTTTGGCTGGTAGCGTTTTGACCCTTGCTTCAAATATTTGGTCAATGTATGGTAATTGGCAATGATATTATTCTTATTTACGATTAAAGTCTTCTTTACCATTGAATATTTGGACCACAGGGAACTCAAAATGTTTCAGTGAGATCGACAAAGTATACAAGTAGCACAGTTTCACTAATCTGTTACACTACATATTTTTCTGTCATCCAGTGCTGTAATTTTTCATATTCCTTGTCGTAGGCATTTCTCGACTTATATGGTAGTAACTTTTGCGTTGCTTTTTCCGCTTTTTTTTAAATTTGGTTAGGAATCTCAAACATATCTTGCATTTTCACGGTTTTAGTTTAACACGTTTGACAGCATTTCTGTAGCGTAGCAATATAACACGGACGATAGAATGTCTACTAGTAAATATATTGTCAAAATAAAATCGAATTTTTGGATTTTTGGAACATATTTATTTGTAGATGCAATAACGAACTAGTATGACATAAAAGTTTGTATGCACCGCGGGTATTAATAGATATATATATATATATATATATATATATATATATATATATATATATATATATATATATATATATATATATATATATATATATATATATATATATATGCCCTCCGACGACTTACAAACCCTCGGGTTAGAGTCCCTCGGTTTGCAGGCAAAGATTACATGCCTCCTACTTCTTGCAGACTGACTATCGAAGAACTTCTCGTAAGAGCATCACTTAAATATTTAGATTCTAGTCCGTCTTGCAGCTCCACGATCGGATGCGCTGGTTGTATGCTTGGCGGATCGTCCCAGCTTTCTTTAGCGGCGATGCTAGAAGCGGGCTGAGTATAGTTATCTTTGCTGCTACTTCTTCTGTCTCTGTCCCCACGATGGTCTCTTCGTCTATCTCTATGACCAGTCAGCTGGGTCACTCGATGTAATATTCCTTTTTCTTCTATTATATATTTTAAGTGTTTTAGAAATTTTTAGGAAATATGGTAAACATATAATATTATTACACCAGGATTCTTCTCGACGATCTTCTTTGCTTGATATCCTGCCCTATAACAGATACTGTCTTTCGGGCCTAACGGTATTCTAATTACTACTTATAACTAGCTTCAGAACAATATAACGGTATTCTAGCCAAATTAATAAATTGGTTATACTTAGTTAACACAGTAAACGTTTTAAATAAGTATAAATGGCTAGAAAAGTCCCCCAATAAAAGAGCGAATAAATAAATTTAATTTACGAAATATAAACGTTAATTATTACGCTTAAAATATACTTAATACATCTAACGAAAGACATCGAACTTCTGGTGGTGGTTTGGTTACAGATTTTCTTGCAAATCTTCGATGACTATTTCAGTGTCTCGTTATGTCAGACAATAAGGTGCAAAGGCAGCATCCGGAATAACATTTGACTTTATTGACCATATCCCAGTTGCATTAAATTCAAAACAAATATTTGTTTGCGTCATTATATTTTTTCAAACTGTCGTAAATATTTGCCGAAATCTTGATTGAAATCTCAGTTGGTGATATACTCTAACATTTAACACCTCTCATTTCAGTACGATTCAACACTCCAGACGACTGCTGTATTTAGTGGTTAAAGTTTATGAGTGGTTTTGGACGGTAAACAAAACAGAGTTACAATCTTTGTTCATTCCAGCTTCTATAATTCTAATGTTTAAATGAGATCAAGCTTTGCCAAAAATTAAAAGGGCTGGTCCAAGATTTTTGAATCGACAGGAGTAATCCAACCACTCTATAAATACTTCTGCTGTCATATTTCCTTCCTTGGTCATTATAATTTTTGTTTGTGTTGGAAGATTATAATATGATTCAGGTTTAACTCGTTGCCCTTTCATAATTATAGGTGACGGAATGGTATTGCCTAGGCGATATGTTCCTTTAGTAGCCAATACAATTTGTTGGTTGTACAGGGTAAGCTGTCATTCTTTCTCGTTGGTGTTTTAAATTTGGACAGGTTTCTTGTGAAATTTTGCTCATATAAAATCTTTTGAAGTTTTTCGAAATAGTCACTAAGAATTTATTGTTTGGGTTCTTGTCTAGTTGGGTTTATAAGCTCGAATCTTTGCAATGCCAAGGTGTCTTTGAAAAACAACAATGTCCCAGCTGTTTCTATTCAAACCGAGAATAGAAGCCTTATATATATATATATATATATATATATATATATATATATATATATATATATATATATATATATATGTATGCTTCTTGAACTTCTAAGTGGAGCATAAAGCTTTAGTGAAAACGCGCCATCGGGTTCTATTTTGCGCTAAGGCCTTCACCTCATTCCAAGACTTTCCTTGGCCTCTTATCTCGTCCATGATCGATCTTCTCCAAGTTTGTACTGGGCAACCTCTTTTTCTCTTCCCTTGGGGATTCCACTCTAGGGCAGTTTTTGCGATACTGGAACATTTTTTTCGGAGTGTGTGACCGATTCAACCCCACTTTCTGGACTTAATTTCATTTTGTACCCTCTTTTGTTCGGTCATGTGTAGCAGATTTTCGTTTCTGATGGCGTTAGGCCAGAATATACGAACAATTCTTCGTAGACATTTGTTAACAAAGACCTGCAGTTTGTCTGTGAGGGTGTTTGTCACTTTCCAGGTTTCACATCCGTAGAGTAGAACAGACATGACATTTGATCGGAATATACGGATCTTTGTCCTTGTATAGACTTAAATAAAAGCCTTACTTCTACCTAATTAAAAAAAGCATACACGTTTTTTCGTTATAATTTTAGGAGCTAATGGCATGCCTTGGTACACAATCTTCCTATGCGCCTAACTAATTCATCTTTCTGAGGTTTTGTTAGAACTGTAGCCCACACAAATCATTTTTGTGAATTGCCACTAGCTAGATGGTTACTTAAGGTAGCATTCCACAATAAGCGACGGAGACAGATCACAGATAGGCAAGATTAAGACTACGAGTGTCCTTTACTTAATACGAGAAATATATCGTCATTTTCTTCTTCCAGTAACCTTTTAAAGAAGAGCATCGAAACTGTTCTTTAAAAGGTTACTGGAAGAAGAAAATTACGATATATTTCTCGTATAACACGTTTCTGATGAAAAATGACGAATATGTCTAAATTTATAAAACGGGCGTGATGGTTTTTATATAATGTAACAATAAAACACTGAAAACTTTTATATTTTCTAGAATGATAATATTCTTGTAGAATTCTACTTGGAGATCAAAGTTTGATGTATTTTAGTCATTAATTCTATTAGAACTTCCTCTTTCTGTGCAATAAATTATTTTTCGAAAGATATTATTTTTAATATCATGTAGAAATCAGTGCTAAAACAGAAATTTCGCGCATCAACTGACTTTAATACTGCTCTTGAAGGCGACTAACGAGACACAGATAGGCGACAGTCGTTTGTCGCTTGTCTCTGTCTCGGACTGCAGAACGATTTTAATTTAATAGCATTGAGAGCAGAAAGGAAGATACTACAATCGGTCTCGACTATCTGTCTCAGTCGCTTGTTGCAGAATGTACGCCGAGGGATATTAAATGAGTGTACTGCCCTATAAACAGCATGCCGTTTGATACGCAATTCATCGCGGCTTCAATGTCTTCTGACTAAAGTACATACCAGAGGTACTTTTCAGTGCGTCATTAATTATGACGTCATATAATGAATTAGGTGTGTCGAGCATTATTTCATATAATTATTGAAGAATCTGACAGATTCCAGGATCGTACTTAGCCACAGGGGGTAATCCCGTATATAAATAAAAATAAAAAGTAAACAATATTGTTTATTAAATTTATAAATATGGAAACATTCGAAATTGACGATAAAATGATTCATTTATTGAATTTTTGTACCTTTTTCTTCTCAAGGGGCTGTCTGAGCGTCGAAAGGTGGCAATCATCACAGTGATTTTTAATTT